TCACAAAAAATTTCTCAATCAAAACTAAAACACAAACAATTAATTAAATAATCATACTATAAATCTATAATTTAATATCATAATTAATTAAATTTATAATCATTTAATTAAGTATTGTACTAATGTTTATAATAAAATATTATAATTAATTAAATAATCATACTATAAATCTATAATGTAATGTTATAATTAATTAAATTTGTAATCATTTAATTAAGTAATATACTAATGTAATAAATTACTAATGTTTATAATGTAATATTATAAATTTATAATTAATTAAGTAATCATTTAACTATATAATATTATAATTAATTAAGTGATTATAATATAATGTAATGTTATAATTAATTAAGTAATAATTTAATTATAGTGTAATGTTTTAATTAATTAACTTTCTAATAATTTAATTAAGTATTGTACTAATTTTTATAATAGAATCTTATAATTAATTAAGTAATCATTTGTTTATACATAATGTTATAATTAATTAAGTAATCATACTATAAATTTATAATGTAATGACATAATTGATTAAATTTCTAATCATTTAATTAAGTATTGTACTAATGTAATAAATTACTAATGTTTATAATATAATGTCATAATTAATTAATTAATCATTTAATTATGTAATGTTATAATTAATTATGTGATCATACTATAATGTAATGTTATAAATAATCATACTATAAATCTTTAATGTAATATTATAATTAATTAATTTTCTAATTATTTAATTAAGTATTGTACTAATGTTTATAATGGAATGTTATCATTAATTAAGTAATTATTTGTTTATAATATAATGTTATAATTAATTAAGTAATTATATTATAAATCTATAATGTAATGTTATAATTAATTAAATTTCTAATTATTTAATTAAGTAATATACTAAATTACTAATATAATGTTATAAACTTATAATTAATTAAGTAGTCATTTAATTATAATGTAATGTTATAATTGATTAAGTAATCATTTAACTAGTAATATATTAACGTTTATCAATTTATCATATATAATTAATTAATTACTAATTTACTACATATATATACTTAAAGCTTGATAATTGAAGTAAATAACTAAATATTATATTATTATTCAATCAAATATACTATTTTATTAAAAAACAATTCTTTTAATTGGTCCTAATTCCAATTATACATTTAATTAATTAAAACTTTAATAGTAATATATTATAATATATTAAAGTTTTTATATGGTGTAGTTTATATGAAATATGTATAATTATATATTTATTTAATTAGGTTATTGTAAAAATTTAACTTTTTCTATTTCAAATTTTTTTATATGTAAAATTATAATAGACCCCCCATTATTCACAAATATTTTATTTCAGTTTAGGTTCTAAAACAGGGTATTCGCTGTAGGTTCCAAGCTGGGTACCCGTCACAGGTTCTTTTTCTCAAGTTCTGATTCCGGTTCCTCCATATGTAGGAACCGGAACTGGAACTACGCAGTGTTAGTTCCAAAAAAATGGAATCGAAACCTACCCGTATAATGTTGTTTTGGATAGGTTCTAATTCTCTCTACAGGTTTTGGTTCTACCTGCTACCCGTGCTCATCCCTAAATTTTAATACCATAATCACTTCCTTCACCGAGGACCAACAAGGGGTAAATGACCGAATTATTGGCCCAAAATTCAATCATGCTCTTAGCAGTCTGAACGGTGTCTTTTGGGGCTCAGAACAAAACTCCATGGGCTAAGCTTGATTTAAGCCCAATTAAATCTCTTTATAATTCTCTCATGTAACAATTGAACAAGGCATTAAATGTTTGGTGACGTGGTTGTTCCATTGCTCCATAACTTGAGAACGATTGACACGGTTTTTTTTTTTTTTTGGTTGAAATAATGATATGTTTACTCACAAACTTACTAATCACTTTATTCACCTTTGTTAAAATTATATATGATATCCATACTATATTTATAGTATCCATACTATATTTTATATTTACAAAGGTTAGTAAATTCATGAATAAGCATATTATTATTGTTTTTGTTGGCTAATAGGTGTACATGTTACTTATTTCAATATTAATTTATATTTTAAACGGGGCTTAAATAAAAAATTAGGTGGAGTTTGAATAACTACACTCTATATTGAATTTTAAATTAGTAATGACATTCAGACTTTGTTAAATCTTTTTAAGCCCCAATATAATTTTTTTTTTTTTGGGATAGAATCATGAATATTTTATATTTTAAATTTATCAATATAAAAATTATAATGCTAGACATCCCAAAAGTTATAATAAAATTATTATTTGTTATGATGTGTAATTATATGTAATGTCGTGGTATAATGGTAATACCAAAAAAGATGCACATCAATTGGGGACATGAATTTTGGGATAACTTTTAGGGCGTGTTTGGTTGAGGGGAATGTTACATAACTTAAGTAATATCATCTTATGTTACTAACATTATTTTGTTTGGTTGTCAATACTTAATAATATAACATTTCGGTAATCCTGTAAAATCAATAGTAATTACTGTTGGTTATATAGGTAGTAATATGAATACCATAATTTTTTTAGGTATTTTAAAATTACTTGGTAATCTTAATTTTGTTGCAATTGTATCTCTAACAAATACAATTTTAGGACATTATTACCCTTATTTTTAAAATAATTTACCAAGAACACCCTAGCCACCTTCTGACGATTGTCGACCACCACCTCCACTGTCGTCGTCGGCCATCATCACCAGCCAACGACTGCCTGTTGCTGGCTAGCGGTGGTGGCCGATGGTAGGCTATTCTCTTGGGTGGTTGGGGTATTTTTGTTAATTTTAAAACTTTTATTGCAGGGTGTTTTAGCTAAATTCTCAATTGTAAGATGTTAAAAAATAGTTTAAATAATAATATAATATCAATAATATTAAAAAAAGAAGGGGCAATTCAGTAATCTATATAACATACCACCCACCAGTTTATTCCTCCCAACCAAACATATCAATATAACACACTACCAATTTATTTCAATCTAATTAACCAAACACATTTTATATAACATTCCCAATAATCTTTAAAGCAATCTATCTTTTCATTAATATAAGATGTTTCAAATATTAAAATGAAAGATTTTTTTTACAAATACTACATATTATTGAAATTAAATTTCCTAAAATAACAAATATTCCACGTGTTTCTTTCGATAGTTTAGAAGTTTTTCTGTCAATTAGACCAAAATGTTGTCACTATTTTAAAACCCGGCTTGGCCCGATTGGTTTAACCGGGACCCAGGAGCTTCATCGGGTCGGGTTAAGATTTTTACTATTCATCCAAAACCCTAGAACTTAGGGTGATGAACGGCGAACAATTGAAGGCCGGGATGTTGGGGTTTTTGAAGAGAAAGTATTGATGAGTGCAATGGTGGTGATGAAGTTGATTTTTGATGAGTGAATCGATTGGAAATCGAAAAAACTAGCAGTAGCAACGACTGGCTTTTGCCGATAATTGGCGAGGCTAACGGGGGTGGGGTGAAGTGGGTTTTGGTCAGGAGAAAGAGGGGAGTATTTTTAGGGTGATAGGGAGGTTGTTGACACCAACGTCGGTGTTAATTCGATTTTGGCTAGATCTTGGGTAGATTTTTTGGGGAATAGGCTCAAGGGACGATTGGGATTGCATTTGGGGTGTCGTTATCGCCAACCAGTCACCGGCCAATTTGTATTTGGGGTGTGTTTGATAAATTTCAAACTTATAGGGACTTACTGTCATTTTTAGGGATGTATTTGCCAAATTTTAAAAGTTTTGTCACCCGTTTGATTGGCTGGTCAAACCGGTCAACCCAGGACCCGACAACTTTGCTGGGTTTCATCTCGGGTTGGTTATTAAAAATTTAAAACATTGAGCACTATCACGATTTCGGCCTTAAGTCTAATTCTAAAAGAAAATTTGTCAAACCTTCAAAAATTCAAATTAAATTTTAAAAAGCATTCTAGTGATGTGCGCTTTCCATTTTCAAAGGGTTTTTTTTTTCCCATTCAAATTAATTATTTAATCATATTAGCCTTTTGCATGCTTAATCAAACATCAAACCATTGAAGTTCAAAGAATTTAGTACATTTTGCCCACCAACTTTAAGTACCTTTTTTAATGAACTCCAAAATTTTCTGTGTGTGTGCATACTTTTTCCCAAAAAATATGGTTTCTTATTCACTTAAAGCCGGCAATCCCCAAGATCATGTGCCTAGAAATCTCAGTTGTGCACGCCGAACAACAAACTGATTTACATGCATTTTGATATTCATTCCATTGTCATTGTCTTGTATAGATCTCTTCTTGATCATAATAATAGTTGAAGACATTCGAAAAAGATTCACGTTGTTTTAGGCAATTACATTATTAAACCCAGTTCAGTATTATTTAAATATTGCAACTAATCATGCTTCTCATATAGTTCGATGTTGAATCTGGCAGCTGCATTTTCTTGAGACAAACCCTCTTCTGCTTAAGACTCATATATTTTGGGATTTCTACTGCACTTTTTTGAGTTGGAAACCAACTGAACTTTACTTTTAATCAGTATAAGATTATAAAAAAACAAGGGCTTTTGATTGTCTTCATATGGAAGGGGACCAGGAATAAATAATCCACGGTGGTTACTTTGTTTTCAATGGATTAAAATGGAGAGCATCATGACTTAAATGCTTCCACAATCTGCAATTCCAGTTTCTGGAGATTGTGTTGTTTACTATTAGTCGTACAATAGAACCGCCCTTGAAATAATCTGTGATTCTCTTATAATATACAACAAATGATTAGATTTTGAAGACCAATAAGAAATAAGTTAGTTGTAATTTAATCCGTTATATATCTCTTAAATCTTACAATTTAAGATCCAAAGGTTTGGTTTAAGGTTTAAAAACAGTAAAATGAAAGACTTAATTAATTGGCTGCTACTTCTGCCAATGGGTATTATGTAACGTGAGCGAGTCATGAATAAATTACACTAAGTCTTTTTCTCTCTCATAATAACCAAAGTTTTATAAATAATCCTCTCATGCGCAGCTAAGTGTGTCTCCTGCAACACCTGAATTCTAACAGACTGCGTCTCTCTTGTTGACCATAAATTACCACACAAAACACTGCCATTCGAATTCTCTTTCTCTGTTTCTCTCCTCCATGGGATCACAACACCAAAAGATAAACAATACACCAAGGATGACCCCAGAAAGAACTTGCTTCACCCCTTTTTGTTTTTTCTGCTCTATGAATGAGACAGTCCCATCTACCAGAAGAGCAAAAATCGCCCGATGCTTCAAACAAATGCCCCTCGCAGATGATCAAGAACATGTCTTGGTCTTAAGTGGCCTCTTCAACATCGCTCTCAATCAACCTGACGACCCAGAATTTCCATCCCTTGGCATATTTGAATGCATGGCAAAGCTTATCCTGAGAGGCATAAACGACAAAGAATGGCTCCGTAGAGATCAGAACGTTTATATTCCATACTATGCTGCGCATATAATCGGTTCATATACCATGAACAAGGTTCATTTCGCTGAAAAAGCTATTAAATCAGGTGTAGTTTTGCCGTTAATGGAGCTTTTAAGAGGTAAGATGAGTTGGGTGGAGCAACGAGTTGCAGTTCGTGCACTGGGTCACCTAGCCAGCCATGAAAGAACCTTTGAAGCTGTTGCCTTGCATGAAGTAGAGATCATAGAATTGGCAAAGGAAATAGCTTGCAACTGCTTTCAAGAGGTGTATGAAAAGTTTCTGAGCCTGAAAGAAAAGAAGAGAGTGAGGTATCACTGTGATTTGCTCACAAAAGGGCTTGGAGGGTTGGAGTTAGAGAACAGAAAGGTTGAAGAATGGGCTAGTCAACTTCAATGTTGGTCTCTCCATCTCTTGAACTGCTTTGCATGCAAAGAAAGGTCTCTCAATCTCATCTGCTGTAAAGAGTTCTTGAAAATCGCGTGTAACTTATGGGGCGGTTTGGCTAATCACAGGTCACCTGCGGGTATTGGGCTGATAAGAACACTTTGTCACACCCAAAAAGGAAGAGAAAGGGTAGCCAGATTGAAAAAAGTAATAGAGAATCTTTGCAATGTGTCAAGATCTTCAGATGATTGGCAGTACTTGGCCATTGATTGTCTTTTGCTACTTCTCAAAGACCCAGTTACAAGATATCAAGTTATAGACTTTGTAGCTTTGTTTCTTGTTGATTTAGTTGAACTTAAAACCCTCAGAAGAGGACAAATAGTTGGGGAAGCAATCACACAGACACTCTTACAAGATTACCATAAAATCAAATACGGTAACTTGAAGTTAAAGAGCAAGAAAGCTGAAAGAGCAGTGGAGGAAGTTTGGGATTTGAAGGTGGAAAAAAGAAAGAAAGAGAAGCTCATGCCAGAACAAGATTTGAAAGAGAAACAACTCTTAGTAGGTAAGTTGAAGCAAGAAGGTAACGAGGAGTTCTGGTCTGGTTACATTGAAAAGGCTGCGAAAAAGTATACGGAGGCTTTGGATTTATGCACAGTCTTGAAGATGAGGAAAGAGAGGGTTGTTCTTTATAGCAATAGAGCTCAGTGTTATTTGTTGCTAAAGAAGGCAGAAGCTGCCATTAGTGACACAACAAGAGCAATATGTTTATCCAGTGAGTTGAGGTCTCACAGTAAGAGTTTGTGGAGAAGATCACAGGCGTATGACATGAAAGGATTAGCCAAAGAGAGCTTGGTGGATTGCTTAACCTTCATCAGTAGTCGCATGAAATCTAAACATCCCAAAACCAAGCCGGTCAAGATCCCATACTACGCGGCACATATGATCAACAAGCAGATGAATGCCACGTGTCCTTTCAACGGTGCCAATTCTAAGACGTATAATAGAGACAAAGAAAAAGTAGAACAATCCAACGGACAAGAGCAAGACCTCGACAAGGACATGGCGATTCACAAAAAGAATGCTCCGGGTAGGTCCAAATTTTATTCAACGTATATATTTTTGTGAGATTCAAAGCCTCTGGTAAGTGTATTGATGGGGATTCTTGTACAGGTTTGCCCACCAATTCCAGTATTGAAGAATTGTTGATTGAGAATGGCTGGAAAAGAAGAAAGGCCGAAAGGGCAGGACGACGAAGGAAAAAAGGAATTAGAGTGGCTGTGGATTCACACAAATCAGAATGTAAAGATTTTCCATAAAATATAAATAGTTTTGCATTTACGATAACAGTATTTGAATGTATACTAATCATTTAATCTTATGTTTCTTTTAAGAATGGTTTTATCTGTTGAGTTGATTAAGAAGATAGAATTTTACTTTAGATATACCAATTACAATTATGTGATCTCTATCACCTAATCCCACTACCTTGCACTTTGGAAGATTTGATACGTTTGAATTTGGGATCGTACCTAACTCACTAATTATGCTTTAAACAAAGATCTAAAATACTAAAATAATGTTTAAATGTGGAAATATCCCAAAAGTTTATTGCTTTTTGTCTTAATCTCCTTGGGCGTTAGGTAAATCTATTGTTGAAATTTTGAAAAAGAGTAACCACATTCTAGAGAACTATTTGATTTGCTGAATAATTGATTGTAGAATGAGATCAACCGATTCTTCTTAATGTATTCTTGGTTTCCACTTCATTTATATTGGGATCCATAGTAAACCTTTAAAGCCATGAATGGAAATGCAATGTTTTAATAATCAACCCAGGGTGAAACCGACAAAGTTGCTGAGTCCCAGGATGACCGACCGATCAAACCGAGTATCCAAAAGTTTAAAATAAAGCAAATACACCCCTAAAAATTTGATAGATCCTTAGAGGTTTGAAATTTAGCAAACACACCCCAAATACAAATCGACGATCGATTGGTTGGTGACCATGACATACCAAGTATAATCCCAATCATCCATTGAGCTCATTTCCCGAAAAATCTACCCAAGATCTGGTCGAAATCAATTCAATTTCAACCAGATCTCTCCATCGCCAGCATTGACAACCCAATCAGATCTCACCATCGCCTGCGTTGACAATTGTCCCTATTACCACGAAAATACTTCCCTCAACCTCCTGATCAAAACCCATCTCACCCCACCATCGTTCGCCTCGACAATCGTCGACTATTGTCACTACCAGTTTTTTTTTTTTTATTATTTTCGATCGATTCACTCAACAAAAATCACCTTTATCACCATCATTGCACTCACCAACCCTTCCTCTTAAAAAGCTCCAACATCCCGACTACTGATCATTATCACAATTTCTAGGGTTTTCGATGAATAGGGAAATTAGTAACCTGACCCAGTGAAAGCCTTGAGTCCCGATTCAATTGGCTGGACCAGATTGGGTTTTAAAACAATGCGTAAATGTACTCAACTTGCATAAATATTTTAATTTCTTAATATGAAAAAGCAGCAATCCGTGGATATGCTTGCTACATTTGGCTTTCCTCGCAAAAATCAGCTTCAAGTTTTAATTAGAAAGGAATTGATTGTTAGGTCAACATGGATGTGGCACATGAAAATAAAGACTTTAACATGGTGCTATACTTAAGTACCGAAAGCATTTCTTCACAGCAAATAGTAAATGGAAACAAAATTTAAATTACATTTGCGCATAATGAACTTTGTCACTCCAAAGAGAACAAAATCTGTCATGTTAGATGGTGAAACACAGACACATTATATACAATCACGTGCTATCATTTCCATTATAAATTCAAGCTTCTACAATAAATATTCTCTTACCAATCAATTTTTCATTTTCTCACGCCAGCAGCAATTCCTCTCTCTTCCTGCTCATTCCGGCTTCAAGTATTAAAACACTAAAAATTGATATCAACGTGTTGATTTCATTTATATAATATATAATTCAAGCTGGTTCCAAATTTCAAACTAAGAGATCTGCACTGGATCCCGTCAATTGTGATCTAATCTACTATCGCAAATTTGATTCTCGTATGTTCCAAGCTTATGTCAAACTTAATTGGCTGTTGATGCTGCTGGACCCATTACTACACCCTCCTGATATTTTCCTTTGATGTTAATAGTGATCTACGCACTTGGTTATTTTTAGTTTCAAGATCTTAGGGTTATGTTTTTTGATTTACTAATATATCGTCAACTATGGAATTAGTCTCTCAAAAACTAATTTTAGGTTTATGTAATTAATTTCATATATATATTTAGGGGTGTTTATATATTGGTTATTATATGAGAGTAATATATAGCATATTTAAGGACATGAACGATCATGCTATTGATTAAATAACGAATATCTAAATTTGTTAGGAGGCATTTATTATTTAAATAGTATTATATAGTTTATTAGTCTATACTTCTTATGTTTGCTATATGATGAAATTAGAATGATTGATTCGATCGTTGAGGTATGACCCCCCATAAGCAAACAAGTAGTAGCATTGCACAAAACAAGGATCAAGTAAGTATACCCTATAGTAAATCTGTACTAATATATATAATTGGAGTTAACTTTGCTACAATTGGCTATTTGTCCTTATAACTAAGGACTTTATGTTTCTGTTTATTATTTATATGGACTTTTGATGTTACCGCCTAATGAGCATCTAGAGACTACTATACAGGCACTTTGGGTTTATTTATAATATGTAATTACATAATGCTCAACATATAATCCCGTATCGCAGTGTGAGAAAGTATACGCATGTTGTTCATTAAGCCGATCGTATTAAAGTTAAGAGTTAGACCATGGGTTTACAAAAGAGTTTTTTTGTATGATATTATTATATCTATATATAAAATTTTTTTTTTTAAATTTGTTAAAGGTCATAATTAGAAAACCAAATGTAAATATTTTGCGAATTAAGTGAGTTCATGTGGAGTATATTAGGGTACAGACGTATGTAGATAAATTGATTCAAAGAAACAGTTTTTAATTTGTAATTCTTTATCTCTCGAGTAAATTGTATTACGTTGACGAACATTATGCTACTAAGGTCATGACATAAAGTCCAAATTGGTCACTTTGTATACAATTGCTTAAATAACCAATCGATTTAACTAAGCTTGTCAAATTTTTAATTATTGTTTATTCATAAATATTTATGTTAGATCTTGGTTTTATATTTAATATTATTTATAATAATGTAATTATTGTGAATAATTCTGTGATGTCACACCACTTTGACAACATTCAAAATTTTAAATTTACGATTTCAAATTTAATTCCAACTTTTGAGTTAATAAAGAGAAAACAATTAACTTTAGTACAGCTTCAGCTTCTTATAGAGATTTCAAAAATGTTTCTTTTCATTAATTTTAGATTAGGTGCATTTTTATTAGGATCAATTAAAGAATTTGTATTATACATGGTTTATGCCTGAAAAATATGGATGATGTAAGATCCTCATCGTACAAAAGTCAAAACAAGGTCACACCCTCCCTCCGCTTCGTCAAATAGTGTGTGCTCGGCAGACCAGCCAGAATCTGTTGGTGATCCCGCGTTCCAATCTCTGGCACCAAATCGTGCAAATCACTCTAGAATTAGGGCAATGTGACATAAGAATGATTTGCACGGATATCCCACCAACTCACAATGCAATAATCCTGAACCCAGCGTCTTACTATAAATGAGAGCTCAACTCTCATTCAAATGATTGCTTCTTTTACTCTATTGGCTCATCACTCTCCTCTCTAAAAGTTAAGCATTCACCATCGCTTGTACGAGCATTTGTAATCATTAAGTTAAGCACCTGCCTATATCATTAATAAATAACAGTGGACGTAGTATTTGCTTCCTAGCATCCAACCCCTTTTAAAAACGTTTTTCTCATTGTATTTACTCCATTTTCTTGCATTCACATGTTCTTCTGAACCAGCTTAGCATTTCACAGGTCGTATTCGTGTGTAAAAATCAACGCATCAACGTTTGCGCTAGAAGGAGTGTCTGATTTAGTGTTCCTTTTATCTTTCATCCAGAGATCTCAACCCACTGGTCCCAAAACAACAAATGACCCGCCCACCTGAACCTGGACACACCAACCAAGTGGCTGAGTGGACCCCCCAAGTCCAGGGGACGCCTCTTCCAAAATACATTCAGCTCCGCAAAAATGCTGCCGGGGTATCTCTCAGTTTCATAACTTGACCCTGCCATTAGAAGCCTACCTTGATAGGGTTCAACAATACTCTCCAGACGTCAAACCTAAGGTTGGGGTGGGGGGACCGTTTGGACCAAGGCGTGCCCCCCAAGTCAGACTAGGGCGGTGCAACCGCCAAACGCCCTGGCAGGGATCGCGGGAAAGTGCAGCAAAGTAAAATAAGCCCGTGTCGCGAGCACTGCAGCGCGTAGACCAAAAGGTAAAGCAAGTGGCAAAAAAGGTGCCCACGAGCTCCCCAGGGCCACGAACACCAACCGCATCCCAAGTAGAATACCAGTCTCATTGAGACGCGTTGAAAAGTGCGCTCTGAACTGTCCCATTGTCACGTCGCAATACACCCCCCATAAAAGTGATGGCTTGGCGATTCTTATCACCGCCAGTACAACGATCCAGATCGTCACCGTGCGGAGGGTCCCACACTCTCGCGGGGCGGTTCTTACGCACCGTGAAAGATCTGAAAAATAACCCCGCACCATCCAATACGTCACCGTGCGAGAGGGCCCATACTTCGCAGGGCGGTTCTACACCGTGAGGTCTAAAATACTTCACCATTCATCGCCTCACCCGCCTCTAGCCCGCGTGTGTCAAGAATGTTCTGAAACCACCTGGCCGAGGCTAAGGAGACCTCGACCTCCTGATTTTTCTCGCCGTAATCGTCGACGGGTCGAACTCCACATGGGTGAAGGCAAATCCCCAAGTGGCTCCAGGCCAAAATTGAGGAGCTGCAGCGAACTCTAGACCAACTAAGAAAGCTCAGCAAATATGACAAGGGAGGTCACGTCTGCGTCCCCCTTCTCTTCAAAGTGCTAGCCGCTCCACTCCCACTGGTATTGGAATGCCTAACATGCAGCATTTTATGAAAAGTCTGAATCCACAAGATCATTTATATGAATTCAACGACCTAATGGAGCTTCACACCAGGTCCTCGGATTAAGCAAAATATCGTTGCTTGGCAGTGACTTAACCTTCCATGCAAGCTGTGGTTCAGGTCGCTTCCACGGGATTTGATCAGTTCAGGCCTCAATGCGCGCGCCATTCCTAGGCATTTTAAGCGAATAGAAATTTCTCGATGCCATTTGAGCTACTCAGCAATA